AGAAAAGTGGGTGAAGGGAGACGTCGGACAGGGCAAGATATGACAAAATAATAATTTATAAATTATCAAGGGTTCATGAGGGAGGGGAAGCAGGGAGGGAGGGAGGGGAAAAATGAGCCGATGTCAGGGCCTTAAGTGGAGAGCAAATGTTTTGAGAATGATGAGGGCAATAAATGCACAAATGTGCTTTACACAATTGATATATGTATGGATTGTGATAAGAGTTGTATGAGCCCCTAATAATTTTTTTTAAAAGTGAGGGAGGCTGTAGAGGTGTTTCACCAGAAAAATTTTAAAGAGTTGTATGAGCCCCTAATAAAATGATTTAAAAAAATAAAACATTCCTAGTGAAGTGCACAGTAACTTTATTCCTTTATTAAGGGATTTTACAAGGGCCCAACTGTAAGCCTCACAATAATGTAAACTCCACTGGAGGGAAGACAAGAAGCTTGTATCTTGTTCCCTTTCTGCCTCTCCGTAGTATGACCTTATTGAACTCACTGCCCCACCTGCTTCTATTTCCCTGGCCTCCCATCGATGATCATCTAGCTTCCCTTCCACGGGAAATAATGGGGAAAAGACTCTGTAAGCCACAGTATATTCAAATGACATTAGGGTGAACCATATGAAATGGCCATTTCTCTAAGTGCCACAAAGTTTACACATTTTGTAAATTGATGCCAATTCCAATAAAGTGATAACCTCTTTCCATTTCCAGTGTATACTGTTTGCTTTCATTCTTCATCCCTGCCTTATGAGCTGGGCAAATGCTGCCCTTTTAAAGTGTGTACTTCCCTAATGGTACTGCTCATCGATTGGCCTATGACTGGGCTGAACCAGGTGAACTAAAAGGATGAGTTCAGATCTTGGCTTGGAGAGTGTCACAGATTGACACACAGTGTGCTTAAAGGAAAGGACACAGGCTTCTTAAAGGATCAATAGGGTCTGGACAGGTAAATACCCAAATTAAAAGTGTAAAGTGGCCACTCCGCTGGTCCATGGGAAAAAACACACTTGTACATGAGCAGGAAGTGAAAAGTTACAAAATCATACTTGGCTAAAAGACAATAGAATAGAGGAGACAAAGGAGGTATTCCCAGAACAGGGATTTAACAGGGATGGGGATTATGTGGTTGACTAAGGATATATAGCCTTCAGTTTATTACAGGGCTATCACTGTATGATGACAAAGTACTAACAATCTGTTAGTAAGATTGTTTCCTCAATTGTGTCAGGATCTCAGGATCCATCAGTAATGGGGCTTCATTGGTAATGCAGTGCATCTAGACCTTTCTGGCACAAGCTATTGCATCTTGTATCTATTGGACCACAATGGAAAGACCCTCTGGAAACGTTGTTAGTGCCATTCAGTCAGTTCAGATTCATAGCCACCCAATGTACAACAGAGCGAAACACTGCCTGGGTCATCCATGCAGCCACTGTGTCAACCCGTTGTGTTGAAGGTCTTCCTCTTTTTTGCTGCCCTACTATGTACCAAGCATAATGTCCTTCTCCAGGGATTGGTCTCTCCAGACAACATGTCCAAGGTACTTGAGAGAAGTCTTGCCATCCTTGCTTCTAAGGAGCATTCTGGCTGTCCTTGTCCCAAGACAGATGTTTGTTCTTTTGGCAGTTCATGGTTTCAATATTCTTCTCCAGGACCACAATGCAAATACACCAATTCTTCTATTGTCTTCCTTAAAATTTTTTTTATTATACTCTGCCATTTTTAATATCTAGTTCGTGTATATGAAGCAATTGAAAATACCATGGCGTGGGTCAGGCTTACTTAAAATAACACCCTTGCTTTGCAACACTTGAAAGAAACTTTGTGCAACACATTTACCTAATGCAAATGCTATTTTGATCTCTTGACTCGTGCCTCCACGAGTATTGAGTGTGGATCCAAGCGAGACAAAAGTCTTGACAACTTTAACCTTTTCTCCATTAACCATGATGTTACCTATTGGTCCAGTTGTGAGGATTCTGATCTTTACAGTGAGTTGTAAGCCACACTGAAGGCTATCATCCTTGATCTTCACCAGCAAGTCCTTCAAGTCCTCCTCACTTTCATCAAACAAGGATGTGTTTATCTGCATATAGCAGGTTGTTAAGAAGTCTTTGTCCAATCTTGATGCATTCTTCTTCATGTAACCTGGCTTCTGTGATGATCTGTTCAGCGGACAGATTGAATAGGTTTTGTGAGATGATTCAACCCTGTTGCACACCTTTGCTCATTTTAAACCATATATATGTATATATATATATGTTTATAGAAATATATATATTGTTCATACAACTGCCTCCTGATCCATGTACAAATTCCACATGAGCACAAGGAAGTGTTCTGGAATTCCCATTTTTCTCAAGGTTATCCATAGTTTGTTATGATCCACATAGTCAAATGCCTTGGCATAGTCAATAAGACACAAGTAAACATCTTTCTGGTATTTGCTGCTTTGAGCCAAGATCCACTTAAAGTAAGCAATGATATCCCTTGTTCCATGCCCTCTTCTGAATATAGCTTGGACCTTGTGACTGTATTGCTGCAACCATTGTTGGATGATCTTCAGCAAAACTTACTTGCATGTGATATCAATGATAATGTTCTATAATTTCACCATTCTTTTGGGTCAGTTTTCTTTGGAATGGGTACAAATATGAATCCTTGTGAATAGCTACCATTTATTAAATACATTCTCATGGTCCTTAGCACAATGAGGTAGTTAAAGCCCATTGTACAGATAAGGAAACTGAGGCTTAAGTGTACAGGCTGTTATACTTGGACCTGAGTTTAGAGCCATACATTTCCCACGACCGTAGTAACTTTGCAGAAACCTCTGGTGATTGGGCTGCTTACTGCAAGGTCAGTGTTCAGAAACCACCAAGGGCTCCTTGAGAGAAAAAGGCTCTCTACTCCGGAAAAGAGTTACAGTCTCGGACCCCCCAGTAGCAGTTCTACCCTGTCCTCTGCAGTGGCTGAGTCAGAATTGCCTGGATGGCAGTTAAGTGGTGAACTTCTGCAGGAAGAGCAAGAGACAAGAAAGATGAGGCTCACTGAGCCATTATCTCTCCGCCCTTCAGTTAATCCTACTTGTATTTATCAGCCAGGCTGGCATAATAAACTATATCATCCAGTATTGCTATTTCTCTTGGACACTAATGATTAAACGAAAAACCGTATCTGAAGTGGACTGCGTCTTTCTTTCTAGGTCTAAGTGGTGGGTTTGAAACATGCACCTTTTCAATTAGCAGTCAAGCTCTTAACTCCTGTGCCACCAGGGCTCCCTATATTGTACCATTTACACTGATAAGGATCTGGTTGAGTATTATAGAAATAATATCCTCTTCCCTTGGGGCACTTCTCCCCTTACTGATAATTTCCTTTCTGCACAGGCCAGCAAGACATTAGAGTGAAGCCAGGCATTAGCCATAATTCATCACCGAAGGGGTAAAGCAACATGCTTCTGCTTTATTAGAGGATGAGTGCATATGTATGTGTGTATATTAGTATGTATGTATGTATTCCCCGCCCCCGCCCCCCCCTAGGAGACGGTGAGTTCTAGCTCTGCTTTATCTAATTTTCTTCAAACACGCAGAACTCCTTAGCCTAATTTCTAGGACTCTCCTCGCTTCAAGCGCCAAGGAAACCTCCCCTACCCCCGGCTGGGCCGTTTAGGGGCTCGGAGAGCACCGGGGACACTCTAGCAGGCCCGCGACGTTTTCCCCGTGGCTCCTCAGAACACCCAATGCTCTCCTTCATGTTAGCTCTTCGCGGGTGGAACGCTCATTTTTGCATCATCAAATGTCTCGATTCGATGTCAGATGCTGCGCCGCCCCGCCTCGGAGACCAGCAGCCAGGAGCATTCACGAGCGCTGTGAAAGAAGGCGGGAAAACCCTCGCTCGCCGATCCCCGAGCCAATGGGACGCGGGGAAACCGTTCTCCCCAGGCGGGGCCGGGACTTCCGGTCCGGGAGCCTACCGGAGCGCACGACGGCGCCGCTTTCCCCGCCCCCCCCGCCCCGGGCCGGGCTAGCCGGGGAGCTGTGCGCGGCCAACGATGGCGGCGCCCGTATGTAGCCGGGCCTTTGGGCTGCGGGTGAGTGCGCGGGGCGGGAGGGGATGGCGGCAGGGGCCGCGGGGACAGTGGACTTCACCTGCCGTCTTCTTCTTCTCCCCAGGTCCTGGCCGGGAACCCGGAGCTCCTGGGCGCCTGGCGAGCGCTGCACACTTCCTCCGCCTGCGCGAAGGTGGGCTCGGGGCGAGGGCGCGGGGCGCGTGCGCGCGCACCAACCCGGGTGTGTGGGCGCTCGGGAGTCACGGCCCCTTTTCTGCTTTCAGAACCGGGCGGCCAGAGTCCGTGTGGGCAAAGGGGACAAGCCAGTGACCTACGAGGAGGCACACGCCCCGCACTACATCGCCCACCGCAAGGGCTGGCTGTCGCAGCACACAGGTCAGGGGAAGATCGTGGGGAGGGGCGCGGGCGGGAGGGGCTGGCCACTCGGCTGTCAAAAGGGAAAGGCAGCTTTCACTTGTTACTAAGTTAATGAACAGCTATAGAAACAACAGCTCGTAACAGTCACTGAATGAAAACGAACACGTATAAAGCATTCGGTTAAACTCGGTCATTAATGAACCAGCTGACATCGAGTAGATTACAACGCATAGCGACCCATTTAGGGTTTCCAAGACAGGAAAGCTTTGTGGGAGCTGTCAGCCTCATCTTACTCCCGACGAGCAGCTGGTGGATTTGAGCCGCCGACCTTATGTATGCAGCCCAAGGCCTTACTCTCAGCGTCCCCAGGGCCTCTTTTACCAAAAAATCTCTCAAACTCACTGCCATTGAGTTGATTCCATCTCACAGTGAACATAAAGGACAGAGTAGAGCTGGCCCTGTGGGTTTCTGAGATTAAATCTTTACAGGCGAGGAAAGTGTCACCCCTCTCCTGAACATCTCATAGTTTGGAACCACAGACCTTTTCCTAGTCCAACGCATAAACCATGTAGGCCTACCGGAGATCCTCTTGGAGTTTACAGAGATGTAATTAATAGCTCAGTCAGTGAAAGGAGGTAACCCCCCCACAGAGTCACATCACCCAGAGTATGCTGCAAAAAATTCCATTTTTTCATTCTATTTTTCATAGTTGCCATAGAGTAAATTCCAGGCAGTGACCTGATGTGACAGTAGAACCACCCCATAGTGTTTTTTCAAACTGTTGTCCTTATTAGGACCTGGATACCAGGCCTTTTCTGGCACCAAATTCCTGGGTGGGTTCAGTCTTCAGGCTAACCGTGTGCTTAACCATTCTTTACAAAATATTGTTCAGTGAGGGGGTTCTCAGCTTGTATTTGGAAACGCATCTGGAGAAGTTACTTAAAGATTCCTTTCCCCAGTTCCCTTTCAAGTTCTGGGTGTGAGGACTGGCTGGGTGAGGAGAATTTTCTAACAAGTAGAAAGGGGCCAGCACCACATGAGAATTTACTGAAGAGGCAGTGACTGATGCCTGAGGGAGCGTTTATAACTAATCGCAATTAGCTAGGGTCACTATCTGTGGCCCTGTTTTAGTCTGGGTTGAGTAGAGAAACAAATTGAGACACCCATATATGTGTGAGAGAGTTTTATGTGAAAGAGCAATTGTATATTAAGAAAACAGCCCAGTCCAGATCAAGGCCATAAGTCCAATATTAGCCCATATGTCCAATGCCAGTCCATAAATTTCAGACTTTGCAACACGTGCAATGATGCAAAATGCAGGAAGACATAGGCCAGTGGGTGCAAAGTCTTGTGGATACAGTGGGGGTAGATGCATCTCAGCGCTGGTGTGGGTCTCCATGTGGCTCCTCCAGCTCCAGGGCTCTGGTTGCCATCAGTATAGCTCCATGTGGCTTGTCAACAGGAATGTCCAGAGAGAGTGTGTGTCCTGCCTCCAGGGAGGAAGACAGTTCCCAGAATCCTCAGGAGAAGGCCATGCCCACACAGAGGCACCATAGGTTATGACCTGATTGACAGGCTAGACTCTACCTTCCTTAAGTTAACAGGAGATATGTAACTGCCACAGGCCCCCAGCAGAACAAGTGTGAGGAGAAGCTAGGTGTGGAAAGATCACGAGTTTTGTGCCCTGGCTTCAGGCTTATATTCCCTTTTGTAAAATAAGGATGATGACTGTCCCTTTTTAAAAAAAATCATTTTATTGGGGGCTTGTACAGCTTTTAATCATAATCCATACATCCATCCATTGTGTTTGGCACATCTGTACGTTTGTTGCCATCATTTTCAGATTGTCCCTTTTTTCACAAGATTGGTTTAGGAATTTAGTGACGTCAATGGACTCAGCTTCAAAGTATTCTCCCACTAGTAGAGGCCGAAAAATGTGTGGGATGGGGGAGGGGTGTTGGAGAGTTTGGAATGCCCAATGGCAAGTTCTAATAACACGTCTGACTCCTCTGTGGTTTGCTCTCTTCAGGTAACCTGGATGGGGAAGAGCACACTGCGGAGCGAACAGTGGAGGATGTCTTCCTTCGAAAGTTCATGCTGGGAACTTTCCCAGGCTGTCTGGCTGACCAGATTGTCATAAAGCGCCGGGCTAACCAGGTGGAAATCTGTGCCCTGGTACTGAGACAACTGCCTGGCCATAAGTTTTACTTCCTTGTGGGCTACAGTGAAACTCTGCTTTCCCATTTTTACAAATGTCCTGTGCGTCTGTACCTCCAAACTGTGCCTTCAAAGGTGGTGTATAAATATATCTAGGATGATCTTCTCTTTCAAGCCGTGGTCTTCAAAGTGCTAACGTGTGGGAAGGACTAAAGTAGAAGATGCTTCCTATCACACTATGGAGGCATTGCTTCTAGAGTTGCTATTGAATAAATATCTATGTTGTCTTGCTCGAGTTGCCTCTATTGTTAAGGTGAATGAACTAGAGCAGGCTTATTAATGCAAGCTCTACAGTTCCCAGGAAGGCTGGAAGTATCTGAAGCTTGGGTAACAGCAGTGGGTAGAGCATGGGACTACTAACTGCAAGGTAGCCAGTTCAAACCCATTAGCTGCTCCAAGGGAGAAAAGTGAGACTTGCTGCTACAGGATTTGGTCTCATCCGGAGGAGCTTTTTCTACTCATATAAAATCATAACGAGTTGATGGTTGATTGAGTTCCGTACTGGACATTTTACCTAAAGTTCTTTATAATCTCTAAAAGGAAAACATTTTGGTGATATAAGTGGTGGTGTTAGGTGCCCTCAAGTTGGCTCCAGTGCCAACTCAATGTACAGTTAAGTGACCTTCATACACAACAGAATGAAACCATGCCTAATGCTGTACCACCCTCCCTCACAGTTACTGTGTTTGAATTCACTGCTGCAGCCACTGTTGATCCTTTGTCGAGGACACACCCCGGCAAGTCACTGAGCAGCTGATTTGGCTAGGAGAGTGGGAATCGCCATCTAGAGCATTTTGCCTGAATAGTCACATTGCTGGTTAATGGTCAGAAGGAATTCAATGTAAATTTAATCCACATGGAGACTCAAAATAGATTTTAGGTTTTTACTACAAATTTAGTGCTCAAAATGTAAAGACTAATACAAGAAAGTACTTGCTACATATTGTGCATAGATATTACAATTTTACTTCCTTCCTAAATGGATTGGCTGTTTTACTTTCTTTTTGTCCTATCCTAAAAATACTATTGCTAGAATAAACATCAGGATATATACTTCGTTCATGGATTAATAGACTCAAGATTGTTACAATGCAAATTCTCTCCAATTTGATCTATAGAAAGAATGAGTTGACATAAAAATTTTTGTGGACATCAACAAGATACGGTGATCGAACAGAATTGGCAGCAACAATTCCAAGACACACAAAGATGGCTGTTAGGCCAGGTTGACTAGAGAAATCCAGACACACAGATGTATAAGAAAGAACTTTATATCAAGAAATACACACATGAAAGCGTCCCAGCCCAACTCATTCATAAGTCTGATCCTAGTCCACGAGTCCCTCTTCTGACTCACGAAGCCACATGCAGTGACACCAACTGCAAGGAGATCAGCAGGTGGTGCAGAGCTTTGTGGACCCAAGGTTGGTGGAAGCATGCCAGGGCTCTGGCAGCTCTCAGGGTGGCCAGCGAGCAGGAAGGTGATGGGGGAGAGGAGGTGGCTGCAGGGTCCTCCATGTGACTGCCACCGAGACAGCTCTGATTCTACCCCTAGCCAGGAGTGTCTAGTTGACATTTAATTAACACAAAGACTCTATTCAAGTTCAAAACTTACTATATATAGTCAAGTACCATCTATTTGGTTCTGACTGATAGTGGACTATGAACTTACTATAATGCTGCAATAAAAAAAAATGCTGCAATAATCAACCATGGTATTGATAAAGGGATAAATACTGGAAATGAGACTGCAACATGATGCTAGAACAATCACGTGAAAAATGGATGTATATATCACAAAAATTAATCCAACATTATAGACAAAAATAAACTAAGCAGTGATATTGATTGCAGAGCAGTGTGGTCCCATCCAGAGTATCTCAAGAACACTTCCAACAGAAAAGAGTTTTTAGGAGAAAACAAAAATTCTATGTAGCACTGAATTTAGCAATGAGTTTTTAAATGCCCACCTATAAAGCACAATCCATGGGGGAAAAAGTAAGTTGGGCGTGGTTGTGTTCTACTTGCTTAAGTTCTCCAAATGCTTTAAGAGGAGAAGGTGAAAGGACACAAAGCCAAGAGGTATCAGGGAACCAGGCTATCAAGGGCCCAGTTTTCTTAATGAAAAATACTGGTTAAGGGGGAGTGCAGCGGAGCAGCAGGGGAGGGGAGCAGCAAGGTCCCCAGTGAATGCTAAAGGTGGACTTTGGGGCAAGAGCGTGGTGCCCCAACAGACTGGACTGGAAAACACTCCTACTAAAGGCCAACGATCCTTGAACTAACTACAAGCTTTTCTTCCTTGGTGTGTTTTAATTTGTTCTTTGTCAGTGGTTTGTTGTTGCTGTTTTGTTGTATATTGTTGCTTGGTTTTGCTCTGTCTTGTTTTTGTGCATGTTGGTGTCTCCGCAGGTCTGTCTGGATAGGACAGGCTGGATGAACAATCTGGAGGAGAAAACAAAAGGACCAACAGTTCCAGGGGGACATGGGAGAGGGGAAGGTGGAGGGAAAAGAAAAGGTGTTAACAAACCCAGGGACAAGGGAACAACAAACGATCCAAATTGGTGGTGAGGTGGGTATGGGAAGCCTGGTAGGGCATGATCAAGGGGAATGTAACAAAGAGGAAGTGCTGAAACCCTGGTGGGGACTAAGCTTGATAGTGGGACAGGAGGAAAATCAAGGGAAATAGAGGAAAGAGCTGGGAGGCAAAGGGCATTTATAGAGGTCTAGATAAAGACATGTACATATGCAAATATATTTATATGAGGATGGGGAACTAGATCTATGTGCCTATATTTATAGGGTAGAGGGAGAGTGGGTTGGAAAGGGAACCGATTACAAGGAACTATATGTGACCTCCTCCCCGGTTAAGCTGAAGGACATTGCTGTTTTTATTGCATCTTCCTATTAAGTGGACTATCCATCATTCTGCAATGTGAAATTGTATGGGATGAATTGAAGCTGACTAGGTAAGATCAGGTTCAAGAATTTGAAATGTACCCTGTATGTCAATGGGTGACTAACCAAGGGTGATTGTGTGCCCCCATAGGACATTTGGCAATGCCTGGGGACATTTTTGGCTGCCGCAAGTAGGGGGAGGGGTGTTGCTATTGGCATTCAGCAGGTAGAGTGGAGATACTGCTAAACATAGAATGCACAAAAGGACCCTACACAGTAAAGAAGTACCTGGCTCAAAATGCCACCAGTGCTGAGGTTGAGAAGTCCTGTTGTCAGTCATGAGGAGTGACATTCAACTTTCAGTGGGAACACTACTCAGTGGATGAATAGGAAAGATAAAGGACCAGAGTCAGACACAAATGAGTTGCCTCATCAGTTTGGAGGTCTGAATTATAACGGGGAAGAGAGGGAAGATTTCAAAGATCTTGAAATCAAATCATCATGTGTTACTGAGATGAAAGGAGTAAGGGAAATTGAGAGAAGTTGACATGGGAGCAAGAGAATGAATTCAGTTGAGTGCTTAGATTACCCATTTATTGATTCATTCATTGTCATTCAACTATATTAAAGACTAGTATAGGTGTGGAGGAACCCTGGTGCCATAGTTATGTGTTGGCCTGCTAGCCACAAGGTCAGCAGTTTGAAACTACCAGTGGCTCCTCAGGAGATGTGGCTTTCTACTCCACGGGGGGCAGTTCTATCCAGTTCTAGAGGGTCACTATGACTTGGCATGGACTTGATGGCATTGTAGGTGTGGTGGGACACTCACTGGGCTGCTAATCACAAGGTCAGTCGTTCAAATGCACCATTTCTTTCAAGGAAGGTGAAGAGCCAGATTGAATCATGTTCCAGAGTCCCTGAGTGGTGCAAATGGTTAATGCTTTTAGCTGCATCTTAGAAGAAATCTCTGGCAAAATACTCCCAAAACTCAGCCATTAAAACCTTATGAAGCACACTTCTATTTTGACATGTGGAGTCACCATGAGTCAGAATCAACTTGATGGCAAATAACTATGTTCTAGGTATTATTTTTAGTGCTAAGGATGAGCTGTGAACAAGACCCTCATGGAGCTTACATTCTAGTGGATAAAATATGATAATGAAGTAAATATGCTATATTTATCTCTTACACTTAATTACATATATGGTGATTTTTAGAGATAAGTAGCACCCCAAATTATGAATTTGGGGTGCCTTGAAAATTGTGACAACAAACCCAGGAACAAGGGAAAAACAAGCGATCTAAAATTACTGAAACCTGAATGAAGGCCAAATATGATAGTGGGACAAGAGCAAAGTAAAAGGAAATAGAGGAAAGAACTAGAAGGCAAAGGGCATTTGTAGGTCTAAATACAGGCATGTACATATGTAAATATATAAGGGAAATAGATAGATAAACATATATTTATATGTTAAGTATTAAGGTAGCAGACAGACATTGGGCCTCAACTCCTTCCATGCAAGACCACTTTGTTCTAATAACCTGGCATTCTGTGATGCTCACCTTCCCTGACACAATCACTGAAGACAAAATGGGTGCATAAGCAAATGTGGTGAAGAAAGCTGATGGTGCCCGGTTATCAAAAGATACAGTGTCTGGGGTCTTAAAGGCTTGAAGATAAACAAGCGGCCATCTAGCTGAGAAGCAACAAAGCCTAGATGGAAGAACCACATCAGCCTTAGTGATCATGGGGGGGTGGGGGCAGATGGAGACCCAAAGCCTATCTGTAGACAATTGAATATCCTCTTATAGAAAGGTCACAAGGAAGAGAAGAGCCAGACAGGGTGCAGTATAGCACCGACAAAAATTCAACTTTCCTCTAATTCTTTAATGCTCCCCCCACCCCCTACTATCATGACTCCAATTATACCTTACAAATCTGGCTAGGCCAGAGCATGTACACTGGTACAGATAAGAGCTGGAAACACAGGGAATCCAGGGCAGATAAACTCCTCAGGACCAATAATGAGATTAGTGATACCAGGAGGGGAAGGGGTCAGTAGGGGGGAGCAAGGGGGAACCGATCAGTGATTGACATATAACCCCTTCCCAAGGGGCAGACAACAGAAAAGTGGGAGAAGGGAGACAGTGGTCAATGTAAGACATTGGGGAAAAAAAATTATCAAGGGTTCATAAGGGAGGGAGGGTGGGAGGGAGGGGAATGAGCTGATACCAAGGACTCAAGTAGAAAGAAATGTTTTGAAAATGATGGCAACATATGTACAAAGGTGCTTGACACAATGGTTCTACATATGGATTGTGATAAGAGCTATAAGAGCCCACAGTAAAATGATTTTTTTAAAAAGAATCAAATGGGTTCAAAATGGTTAATTTGTACTGGCCTATCAAAAATAGTTGTAATCTTTCTGAATAGCAATAGTGTTTTAGTTACAAATGCCTGGCTTATTATTTGCTTGAGAGAATGACAATTAGTTTGATTTTGTTGCAACTATTAAAGCTACTGGTACTAAAATAAATAGGCAATTCTGAAACCAACAAAAAAAAAAAAGGAAAGAAAATTGTGAGTTGTTCACTCCAGTTTTGAGAGTTACAAGCACACAGAAGATAGCTGAAACAAGTAGAAAAGATTGCATGAGGACAGTGATTCCCTTCTGCAGAATCACTTCTACTGCTGTGATTTTCTCGGTGTTGCAGAATCTGTGCAATCTATATTGTAGGTGATATACCTGCTGTCTTACCACAACAATGTAGTTGAACCGTATGGAAATCTAGCAGATTCTTAAAGGGAAAAAAGTAGTAAAGCAAAACATGGTAAGTTTGAGTAATTTTTTTTATGAGCAAAAGTTAAGGAAAATAACTAACCATACAGGTTTTATTATTACAGGTGACCTAAAAGACTACACTCCACTTTGGCCAGACAGCAGTTACAAAGTTCTTCGTGAGCCACTCCTGCGTTCCCTGTCAGTGAAGGCAGAGATGCCTTATGGAATGAGCCAGCAGGTCAGCACTCACCCTGCTTGTCACAAAAACCTGTTGTGCTGACGCCTGCTGTGAGTGGATCCTGTAAAGCGGTCTGGGTAGAGAGGAACTCTGAGTCATTAGAGTTGATATCTAGGGGAAGCTGAAGGTAGCAGAAGGACATAGAACTGAACAGGGCCATGGCACCTGAAACTGAATGCCCAGATACACTGCACGAGAACACTGGTTCCTCCGCAACATAATCAAACCAACAGCAAAGCTCGGCCAGAGACCATTATTAACTTGATAAAATAACGAAATCTTTGAGGACGTACCACATGCTGGGCTCTTAAGTATATTGAAAGTACCACGGACTGCTAAAAGGACAAACATGTCTTAGCAGAAGTGCGGCCAGAGTGCTCCATGGAGGCAAAGATGCAAGACTTCATCTTACATACTTGGGACATGTTGTCAGTAGAGACCAGTCCCTGGAGAAGGACATCATGCTTGGTAAGTGGAGGGGCGGGGGGGAAAGAGGAAGCCCTCAATGAGATGGACTGATAAAGTGGCTGCCACATGGGCTTGGGAGCGATTGTGAGACTAGCACAGAACTGTGCGGTGTCTTATTGTTGTACATGGGGTCACTATGGGTAGGGATCAACTAGATGGCACTTAACAAGCTCTAAGTATTGCACTTAACATTAACTTTAGAAATTAGGTACTATTTTAAGGGCCCCTTCCTCTACCCCCACTTTTTCCCCACCCTGGTAGAAACTGAAGCTGAAAAGAGACTTTCCTGAGGCCACATGAGCAGTGATGAAGACAGAGTTGGGATTTCCTTTGGTTGGGACTCTGCTTGATGTCCATCTTAACTAGATTACAACGATCTAAGTCCTCTATTTGGGTAACCTAAACTAAAAGAACATTAGAAAGAAACATGATTTGAATCCCTCAAAAATGCCAAAACTGTTGTTTTGATGTAGTATAAATCCAAAAGTGCAGAATCCTTTGAAGAAAGGTTAGAGACAAATATACTCCCTTCAGAAATGTTTAGATCTAGCTGGTGAGTATGTCAAGAAACAATAGCTTCACATTTTAATATTTTTGTTTAATAAAGGTGTCTATGGTTTTGTAGCAATGCTTTTTGGCTTATCCTCTTATGAGTGGGACAACAGACCTGGGTCCAGAAAAGTTCTAATTCAGTAGCTGAGAGAACAGATCTTAGGCCCAGCTGGGATCAGAGGAACAAGGCAACAGGCTACTTTCTTTCAGAGTTCGGGCGATTAGAATAAACAAGACCCTCAGATCTTGAAGTAACATCGCACAAGAAAGTTCCAAATCCTATGACATTTCTGTCTCTCAATGGCATTTTTGCTAGGGGGGGGGGGCAGGTGTGTGTGGGGAGGGTTCTTGAGTCTCTGGGAATTGCAGAACAAGGGAACATTTGGTTTCTCTCCTCCAAAAGCTGTTTCTTCCCCATATAGATACAATGTGATTTTTAACTAGTTGTTTACGATGTTGTTTTAAGCACCAAAGTCTTAAGTTTTTAAAAATGTTTTAAATATTATAACAGCATTCTTTACAAGGTGCTCTGTGCTGCATTGTGCTTCCACCCACTTTTTTTTCCCCTGCCCTGGGCCATTTGCCTATCTATAACATCCTTCGTGGGTCACACTGGTTAAACATTTAATTAACTCACTCCTAACATGATTGGTGGCTGGAACTGTTTCTCTTGGGTGAGCTATCGGATGCTAGCTGGTATTGATGATTTTGAGGGTCTTATATTGCTCATGGGCTGCATGTTCACCAACCCTAGGTTAGACATTTGCCTCCTGTACAACGAACAAAAAACGAGTTGCCCTGTGGTTCATTCCCATGGCCAACACTCCAGAGTGAATCTGAGTTCCATACAGTTTTCAATGGCTGATCTTTCTGAAATAGATCAAAATCTTGAGATTGAGAGAGGAAAAATCAATACTAGAAATATAACATTTAAGATCTCGTTTCTTATAACTCCAAAATGTAACAGTCCCCTCCCTTACAGTAAAAAATTCTTCTAAGCATAATCAGCAGGGATGTTCTAATTTGGGTTGAAGGCTAACAAATGTCAGTAAGGTAAGTAGCCACACAACGAAATAGCACCCCGATTTGGACAAACGAGCACATGAAGCTTCAGGGGATAGTGATCTAATGGCCCCTGGAGAAATGTAGGTGTACATAATTTCCTAATGATCATGGTTGAACCTGTCTCCAGAGGGTCAATGGCATCTTGTGACATTGTAAATCTCTGCTAATCCTACTTTAAATCATTGTTTTAAAAAAAACCTTTTTTGTACATTACTTTGTAAGGTCCGGTATTAACTCTAAAATAGCTCTGAGGAAATATCTGACATTTCTTTCTGTAAGCGTTTGTAAGAATGAACTTAGAATTTCCAGAATCTACCTGGTCTGTTTTCGGATATGGTGACAGCCTCTCCCGGACCCCTTGCAGTCCGACAACAAAGATGACTCTGGGTGGACTTGACTCCCCCATCTTTCCATTTGCAGCTTAGCAAGTTTTCGTTTAAACGATCAGGGGCTAACTAGGTAAACCTGCTTTTTCTTAAAAACTTTCAGACTTACCAAAGCATCACCCGCTCCAGCAAACACAACCCCTTCAATGCCTCACGCCTCCCGTCGCGCGTCTGGAGTAACTCTCGCGAGAGCCCAACGCCGAGGAAGCACCAACTCTCGCGAGAGCCCAACGCCGAGGAAGCACCAACTCTCGCGAGAGGACCCGTGACAACACAGAACCCCGGCCCGAAGCATTGAGGCGGCGGGAATTCGGGTTTCGAACCGAATGAAGCGGGCATGGCTGGTACTCGGTTGCCGTGGAACCGGCTTGACAGACAACAGGAGCTAGATCTGCGGGAGCTGGTCCAGCACGTGACTGGCCTCCAGGACGAGGCGGACCCAAACTTCCAGCTCGCCCTCCAGTTTGCCAGCTCCAACTTCAGGTGTGTTGCGCGGCCGCGGTCCTCGCCGCCTGCGGAGCTGCGGGGTCTGCGAGGCGCTGCGGGACGTCGCCGTCTTCCGGGCTTGGGATGGGAACTGATGGCCCGGAGCAGCGTTTTCCAAGGAGGGCGGGCCGGAAGGGGGACCGCTGGAAGGAGCCAGAGGGCCTGCAAATGCAGATAGTTGCATTTTATCCTGTATTATGGGCTATAGGACAAAACGTTTTAAGCCATGGGGCTGTTAATTTTTTCCTAAATATATATGTTCCATTATATATATAATTTCCCCCCCCCTGAAAAACAGGCAGTAGAGCAGATAAGTTTGGGAACCTGTGTCCTGGAGGAAGCCCTTGCTGACCTGCTAGTGCTGCTTCTGCACGGTGTCTTAGTGCACTCTATGTCTCCTGCCATGGTGACGAACACATGCTTAAACAATGAATTTTGAGTTATTGGGTGTCAGCCTCTCCACTTGTAACGTTTGCTTTCCAGAGAACAGATCTGCTGTACCGATGGTACTAGCGTACATGCACATAAAAGTCATTTGAATGGAATATCATAGCGCAAAATTATGATCACATCCTATTTATACTTGTACGTGGAAAAGAATTATTATCTTTTATTTCCATATTTTCCCACCAACTTTGAAGCTTCCTCCTATTTACTGATGAGCTCCTCTGGCCTGAACCATGTCATTTCCCTTGCCCTGCACCCCTTTCTGCCCCCTGCCCTCTGAGTTCCTATTACAGCACATGGAGTAATTTAAACATTGTTGACTTTGTATCCTCTACCTTGTATCAAAGGTAGTACATCCCTTAAGACACTGTTCCCTTGCCATTTGGAGCACTGTATATCTTGCATGTATGTCGGTAATGTCCCCCTATTTCAAAATGATTCCGTTCAATAAAATGTTTTAATTTCTAGCAGAGCATTAGTCTAGTGTCTTCACTGATTATCAATCTTAATGAATATAGAGGAGCCCTGGTAGCCTAGTGGGTTCTGCTTTGGGCTACTAACCACTGGGTCAGCAGTTTGAAACCATCTATGTTCCTGGTGAGAAAAATAGGTGTTCTGCTCCCATAAACAGTTATAGTCTTGGAGATCCACATGGGTAATTCTACTCTGTCCTGTAGTGTTCTTATGAGTAGGACCAGACTCAATGACAATGAATTTTGGGGGGGTTTAGAATGATCATAGGCATAATTTGGCAACTTGAATTATAATAGGAATAAAGAGCTTCCAGACCCATGACATGTACTGTGTTTTTGGAGTGGTAAATTAGAAACAAAAAAAAACCCTCACTGCCATTGAGGTGATTCTAACTCAGAGTGACCCCTATAGGATAGAATAGAACTGCCCCTGTGGGTTTCCAAGACTCCCTGTGTATAAGGGAATAGAAAAGGTGCATCCTTTTTACCAGGGAAAAAGTGGTTTCCAACAGCTGACTTGAGGTTAGTAGCCCAGCATGTAACTGCTACACCACAAATGTAACTTACAAAAACAATACAGTGGGCAATCACTTGTATAAGATTGAAATTTAAGTTCTCTGTCCCAAATTACTTTTCTACTAATATTTGTAAATATTATTAATTATGTTAGGGTTGACTAGAAAAACAAATTGATGGAGACTCATAGGTGTATAGGAAAGAGCTTTATATCAAAGAGTAATTGTACATTAAGAAAACATCCCAGCCCAGTTCAGATCAAGTCCGTAAGTCCAATATTAGCCTATATGTCCAATGCTAGTCCGTAAATTCCTCTTCAGACTCACACAGCACATGCAATGGTGCTGAGTGCAGGAAGATCACAGGCCAGTGGGTGGAAAGTCTTGTGTATCCAGTGGTGGTGGGAGGATCTTAGTGCTGGCATGGGTCTCCATGTGGCTCCTCCAGCTCCAAGGCTCTGGCTGCCATAAGCACACCTCTATGTGGCTTGTCAACAGGAGAGACAGCAGAGAGAGTCTGCTCCACCCGGAAGACCGGAATTCCCAGAATCCTCAGGAGGAGGCCATGCCCATACAGAGGCCTCATTGGCTGTGACCTGATTGCCAGGCTAGATTCCATCTCTTCGAAAGTTGATAGATTATGTAACTGCCACATTAATTAATGCCATTTTAGTGTTTTGCGAGTCATTAGACATTACTGTCTTTGACAAATTGAGATACTGAATTATAGGCAAAGTAGTGTTATGTCACATCCATTTGCTAGGCTAGAATTTGATGTGTTCTTTTGGTAGTGTGATTTGCTTCTCATTTTAAGTACTTATTGCCTTCAATATAAAAAATGGAAAACTAATTTTATGATTTAAAATGAACTGTTTTTTGCTTATAGTAAAAATAATTATGATGATGTCCCTGTTTTTAGTTGTCAAAGTGAATCAGATGTACGGTGCCCTGGATCCTAAGGCTGTGATCTTTAGAAGCAGTTTGCCCCATTTTATCCCATGGCATAGCTGGTGGGTTTGAACAACCAACCTTCCAATTAGCGGCCAAACACGTGACCACTGTGCCCCCAGGACTCCTTCACATCATGTTGAAACAGACAATCTGAACTTGAGATTCTAAAGATCTAATACAAGGGTTAATGAACTTGAATTAGAAAAAGAAGTTAGAAAGTATCCATTTCTTCAATTATGACTAAAGACAATAACATGGTACTAGTCATATTAGCCTACATGTCAATTTGTTGCCAGTATAAATCAGGGTTTTCCCCACACACATAGTGCTGATATATCTAGATATTGTTTGTGGTTTTTTAAAACTCATCATTGCTAAACCTACTGCTAGACCTTGATTATTTAATACATCAATACATCAATAAAGAATCTTGTCTGCTACTGCATCAGAAACTTTGTTAATAGTTGGGAAGTGTATTTTAATATGCAGGTATATGCCCCTTGATGTACATGTTAGTTTCTGTGAGCTGTGTGTTTTAGGCATTGTTTGGACTCCATGGGGCTTAAAAAGTTCATGGGAAAATTCCATTACCTCTTAATCCCTTTTCCCCCACAAACTTTTTGGAGTTTATTCTCATCATTCATGTGTTTGTGTATATTCAGTAGAAGTATATCAAATTAGTCCCCAGAAGCTTGGAGTTTGCAAACTTTCACCTGGACCTAGGTGCTCCAGAAGGTCCCCACCACAGGGGTGAGGAATCTGATCAGAATCGAAGCCCAGGTACTGAGCAGAGTAGCACAGCCCAGCATCCCCCTGAAGGTTACATCATCATATAGCAGCGGTTCTCAACCTGGGGGTCGCGACCCATTTGGAGGTTGAATGACCTTAGGGGTTGCCTAAGACCATCGGAAAATACATATTTCCAATGGTCTTAGGAACTGAGACACCGCTTCTCTATCTGTCTCCAGGAGGGTCTGCCCACATGCAGATACGCCCACATATGAGTACCCGGCATGAAGACTGTTACCCATGTTACACCATGCTTCAAGACAGAATTTCATTTCTTTGTAATTAGAAGTAAATATTTCACAATATATAATTACATATTGTTTTTGTGATGAATCACTATGCTTTAATCATGTTTAATTTGTAACAATGAAACTACATCCTGCATTTCAGGTATTTACATGATGATTCATAACAGTAGCAAAATTGCCGTGATGAAGTAGTAACGGAAATAATTTTCTGGTTGGGGGGTCACCACAACCTGAGGAACTGTATGAAAGGGTCGCAGCATTAGAAAGGTTGAGAACCACTGCCATATGGAATGGCTAGGATACCTGGTGGAGTAGTGAGTTATGCATTCATTGGGCTGCTAACTCCAGGGTCAGCAGTTCAAAACTACTGGTGCTCCATGGGAGAAAGATGAGGCTTCTGTGCCTGTAAAGGAAACGCACTGGGGCAGTTCTACTCTGCATTTTAAGGTTGCTATGAATAACAGTTGATTTGATGGCAGAGAATTTGTTTTGTGTGTGCAATAGCTGGGCAGGGCACCCTGAGCTCCAACTGAAGGCCAGCCATAGTTGGATGGTCAAAACTCAGTGCTAGCCATGTCTCTTGGTGTTCTTCCAAGCCAGGCCTCTTCCCTTTCCGTGGACTTTATTATAGGCTCAAAGGTTTGGCCCATCACCTCCCCATACCTGTATTTGTTTTCTGTTTTGTTTCACGCATTTAGAGACATAGTTTGGTGAAGGGACTCAGGTTTCATTTTGGCATAGAAATAATTAGGGATACTTGGTGTAGAATATGCTCTGCTGGAGGCAGACACAGGACATGGTGAAAAGACAGCACCAAAAGACAGGGTTTGAAAGACTCCGGATGCATCTGTGTCCCGAGGAAGAGACGCTGGAGTAATTCCTGAGACACACTAGTGGTTTGCCGGCCTGATGGCAGAGCTAATGGTAGGAGAGCAGTGCACTTAGGATGTATGTAGGGCGGATTACCCAATAAGCAAGGTAAGCATGGGTTTACTTGTGCTTACTAATTTATGGTGAGCAATTTGAAAAAAATGTGAAAACCATGTGACACCGTGCACTACAGATTAGTAAGTAAGCATAAGCACAAGTAAGCCCTGTTTACCTTGCTTGCTGGGTCTTTTGTCTATGTTGGGGATTATAAATATGAAAAGAGGCTTTGAATCTATCTATGAAAGTGCTAGGGCATTGGGAGAGAGACTGACGCCACCCATCCTGAGAAGCAGAATTTTTTTTCTTTCTTTTTTTTAAAAATCGTTTTATTAGGGGTTCATACAACTCTTGTCGCAATCCATACACACATCAGTTGTGTAAAGCGCATTTGTACATTCATTGCTCTCATCATTCTCAAAACATTTCCTCTCCACTTAAGCCTCGGGCATTAGGTCCTCATTTCCACCCCCCACCCTGCTCCCCTCTCCCTCCTGAGCCCTTGAAAATTTACAAATTGTTATTTTGTCATATCTTGCCCTGTCGACGTCTCCCTTCACCCACTTTTCGGTTGTCCGTCCTCCAGGGAGGAGGCCACATATAGTTCCTTATAATTGGTTCCCTCTTTCCTACCCACTCTCCCTCTACCCTCCCTGTATCGCCACTCACACCACTGGTCCTGTAGGGCTCATCCACCCTGGATTCCCTGTATTTCCAGTTCCCATCTGTACCAGTGTAC